TCCTGCACCATGTTGCAACAATCTCTCTCATCACCTTTTCCTACGTGAACAACATGGCACGAGTGGGAACTCTGGTCATGTGTCTCCATGACGCAGCCGACGTGCTGATAGAGGTGGGGATGGGCGAGAGAATGAAAGGCTGTGGATGGAAAGAATGGCAAAGGGAGGCCAAGATGGTTGGGTGTGTGTGTGGAGTGTTTGGAGTGTACATGCTCAGCTATCCATCTTTATCTAAATTTAACTACAGTCTTCCATTATAAAAAATGATGTCAGATGGTATCGTACAGGCACAGTGCATGTTGAGTATACTCTTTGTTGGAAACTAGAGCTTTTTATTTATTCTATTGACAGAGATATGTTAAGTAGTTGCTAGCATGATAAGATTAATGATTGTTTCTTTTTTTCTATCAAGGCTGCCAAGATGGCCAACTATGCCAAATGTCAGATATTGTGCAACCTCTTGTTTGCAATGTTTGCAATTCTCTTCATAAGTTCCAGGCTGGGAGTTTATCCTGTCTGGTAAGTGTTATCCCTTTCCTTATACTATAATTAGCATCCTTCTAAAGGCTGACTTAACTGAAGCAGTGTTAGCCTTTAGTCATTTGTATACAAAACATTACACAAAGACAGCCAAGGAATTAAAAACCTTAAGCGGCAGATGCCTAAGAGATGCTCTGCACATTTTGACAGACCATCCCTGACAATGCATGGCAATGCTATGAAGATCTCAGATCTTTTTTTTATTACTTTCTCCACAAGCATTCGTAGTTCATACACATCTCTGTGAATTTTGTTGCTAAGTAATTGTTACTATGGATACAGCAGCTTTACCCTTTCAAAAGCTAAACAAATGAAAAGCAGTATGTTATGGTTATTGCTTTGTCATTGAAAACAGCGTGTAGCGTTTCATCTGATTATTAAAACATCAAAGGTTTCTTTTACCCGTAAGGATCTTTTCATTATATTTGAGGTGTTGCTATATTCAAGTTGTATCCAATTATAAAGACACTTCCTGATTGTATTTGCCCGAGTTACCACAAATATATTTTTGTCCTTGACAGCACAGTACAGCAGTCTTCTTGTAGTCACCAGCAGCAGTATTATCACAGCTTTAGTTTGAGTCGGGCAGCTGCAGTTGTCTGCTCATTGATACTTGATCAGCACAAAAAAATCTATTTCAGTGATCTAGATGCAAGTTTGTCATCTTTAATAATTATTCTGAAGAAAGCATTTGTGAACAACACAGTCTGTACAGCATTGTAAGACAGTTTTTTAAGCTCTCCACCTTTGTTTCACTGTAATATAACGATCCTACATCACATTTTAGTCAAACCCCACCACGTCAGTAGTAAAGTCATTACTGTAAAGCTGTTGCCATGGCTTCAGTATCTGGAGGATGATTCACAGACTTTTCTCTGGGATATATTTAACACCAATCCTTGAAGTTTTGATTGCACGTTATGTGAAGCCAGGTAACTGCTTTTTCATTACATTACATTCAGGTTTATCTAGTGTACATATATTGGACTATAACCAAAATGCTTTTTCAAAGACACACATCTGTTGCTGCCACAAATGCATGATTAAAGGGCCTCTGTTCCATGAAAGACGAGGAGCTGGAGCAGAGCCCGCCTCGGTTCTTTTCACTTGCTTGGTCATACAAGAATCCCCCCACAAAGAGAGAGAGAGAGTGCTTTTACCTCTTGTTTTATTTTCTAATGAAACAAGTCAAGTTACTTATCTCCCTCTCCCTCTGTTATGGAAGGATATTAAATACCACCTTCTTCGAGAGTTGGGAGATCGTAGGGCCCTACCCGTCCTGGTGGGTCTTCAACCTTCTTCTGATCCTGCTGCAGCTTCTTCACTCCTTCTGGTCCTACCTCATAGTGAAGACCGCGTGCCGAGCCATCTCCAAAGGAAAGGTGAGTCGCTGCACTCGGCATAATAGGGTGTTTTGCTGCTAGTACACGTATAGATGCTGTGGAGTGTTCTCAATAACCACTTTTGACTTTTCCTTTTTATTCTCTATGTGCGCTAACCTCCATCCTTCAAGGTGGGAAAATGGAATCCGTTGCATGTAAGTAGCCTGAAAGGGGAACATTTAAATCTAAGTGGTGTATTGTGTGCTTAGTTTAATTTCATGTCTTTAGCAGCCATGTAATCATTTGCATTCATCATGATGATCCTGGTTGTCAATCAAACTTAACCTAATCAATGCATATTTAGCTATGCACGATAGCTCCGGGTATGGCAATATTAGTCTTTTGGTCGAGCTACCACTTCAGTCCAGACTGATACATCTCAACTCTTGTATGTATTGCCCCAAAATGTTTTGATTCCCAGAAAATGAATGCCATGATGTTTCCTCTGGCACCAACATTTTTTGGCTTTCAGCGAAATATCTCAACAACTATATAATCGACTTCCATTGAATGTTGCACAAACAATCACATCCCCCTCAGGATGAATTTAAATAACTTTGGTGATCGTCAGATTTTTCATCATCAGGTCAAAATGGCCAGTAAATCTATTGGCATTCCCATCAGCCTCATCTGTACTTTGTGTTTAGTGCTAATTAGCTAATGTTAGCCTCACAGAGCTGTTAGCATGGCTGTAGACTCTTCTATCTCATCATTACCATTAGTTGCAGCTCTTTAATGGTATTCCTGTAATTAAATGGATTAATTATCAATCAGGTAAAAGCATTCGCTGGTCCCAGCTTGTCAAATGGGAGGGTTTTTATGCTTTTCTCTGTTTGATATCATTGTAAATTGAATCTCAATAGGTTTTGGACCGTTAGTCGGACAAAACAAGGTTAGCTTCTGTAAAATTGCGATGGGCATTTCCCATTATTTTCGGACATTTTACATACTAAATAATGAAACATCAATCGGAAAAACAATCTGGAGATTAATCAATAATGAAAATAGTCATTAGCTGCAGCCAAAATAATATCATTTTCAGAGGTCTCTGTAAAAAAGATTGTAAGGCTTTTTTCAACTTATTTTCTGATATTGATTGGCAGAACAGCTCCCGGTTTGTCGCACAAAAGCCCATTTGTGTCACCAACGCGCATGGCTGCCACAGATAATGACCCAGATGAGAATTTTAATGAGAAAAATGTAATCTCCAACCATCCGTCTCAATGCAGGTGTCAAAAGATGACCGCAGCGACATCGAATCCGGCTCCGATGAGGATGACAGCCCCCCGCCCAATCACAAGCACCACAGCAGCAGCAGCACCAACGGGACCAACAAAAATCACGGGACCAACGGCTACCTGACAGGGGCCCCGTATCCCGATGAACACTGACTAACACGGGAGCCATGCTACAGACACCATCCGTGTGTGCGTGCGTGTGTGTGTGTGTGTGTGCGTGCGTGTGTATGGTCGAGACATGAACATCGCCTGTCTGGTACTGGAAATTCTTGATAGATTTATGTGAATGCAGTTTTGTTATCAATTTGATTCTTTACTAATTTCCATGCGCAATTTATTCTCTTCATCTTATATATTTGCATTGAACTGCACTCAGTGAAATATCAAAGCACTCCCATCGGTACAACCCACTCTGTTTAGCCAACAAATGAAAGCATTCCACTTTATGGTGTAAGCATGCTACTTTAACATACAGTAGTCTGGCATACTGGGGGTGAGTTTTTTCTTATGTTTGCGTCTTTCTATGTTATTTATTTCTGTTGTTTGCAGATGGTGAGACGTCTTTATTTACATTGATGTCAGAGTTAAAGAGGTGAAAATTTTGAACAACACAGCTGGTTTTTTTCACACCACACATTATGACGAGTATTGGCAAAATACTGAAGACTGGGTTTACTTTTAATGCTACACCCCCAAAAATATGCCAAAATGTGTGACGTTTACTCACATTTTTAAAACACATTCTCCACTCAAACTGTATATGACATGTCAATAACAGTGTTATGTTTGTGCATCAGATATGGCTAGATGCTGTATTCCATATTAAAGCATTTTGTTAAGTATTCTGGTACATTTCCGGTAAGCATTTCATTAAAGGCCATTTGTCCTCTTAGGAGGCGGACATGAGATGTTTGAGTTATTCAATAAAAAAACATGACAATTGCAAATGTGTGTGGGTCTGTTCAATAAGAGATGCCTAATCAGCAAAAAAACTATTTATCAAATCGTGGCTGTGAATTTTTATTTTATAAAGAAAATCATTTCGGCATAAATAATGACTTGAGATTTAATAATATGCATTGATTTTTAATGAATAAACATTAAGATATAACAAGTCTCATAAGGAGTCAGAACAGGAACAGAGCCATTGTTATTGGTATTAGTGAATATAATTATTTTTTTATATTAAGGAATTACATGACGGATTGTATGTGAAAGGGGTCGCTCATAGTGACGAACCCTTTGAACGTTTTAATGTATTTCAGCTCGTTTCATTTTTCATGTTTATTGTTTTCGTTCAGTCTGCAGCTACCATAATGTCTTCATAAACTGAGACTAAATATTGGACATATATTCATCATGTCAACTACAAATGAATGCAGTTTTGCTCCATGTCAGCTGGTTGTGGGAATTGGCAAATGTTTGCTCACAAGTTTTGCATCTCAACGTCAAGGGTGATACATGTCAATGTTATGTTTACACCTTGGTTTTGCTGCTTCCAAATAACCAAATAAGCATTGTTATTGCTGGTTTAATGAGGCACAAGGAAGCCTTTTACCTACATGTATAGCTGCTTGGGGCCAGTTAGTGAGGCCTATTCTTTTCAACATGAAATAATAAAGCAACTTTTGTTTTGTTTAGAACTTGTATTAGTTAGCAGTGAGTGGCAGATAAGAGCCTGCATTAGCCTTTGTATTGTGTTTATATTTCCTTTATATCTGCAGCAGACTGACTTGCCATGCTGCTTGAGTTTATATTCGTAGTAAGTTTTTTTTCCCCTCTCACTGGAATTTTCCTTTGTATTGAGCTCAGGTGATTTCCGCATGAGCGACTTTGGGAGGAGGGTGGTCAAAGTTCCAGGTACAAAGTCAACAAACAGCCACAGTCTTAAAATGAAGGATCCTATCAGCACCTGCTCTGTGAGTATTTCTTTGAAAAATCCACTTCTTGTTCCACAATACTTCTGGAGGGCACTGGGGTAAAATATAAGACTTGAATGTGCATTTGATTCGCAACTAACTTTGTATGGGTTTGAACTCCGTGGATTCAGGCCATTATTCCTTTATAGAACCTTATTCGCTGTCTTTCAGTATAACCAACTCTATCAAAATGTGAAACAATTTTCAAAAACCGGGGAGTACTTCTGCAAAGAACTTATGACAGTTTTTCAGCAAAGGTAGGTTCAGTACAGTTGTGGCCGTCAGACTAACTATTAATGTCGGCAGGAGTTATTGTTTGACTCAGTTATTGTCTCTCGCTGCAACCTCTTCCTGTTTTAGGGCTGAGCTGGAACTTACTTATGCCAAAGGACTACAAAAACTTGCTGGCAAACTCATCAGGGCCTCCAAAGGAATGTCAAATAAGTAAGAGAGACACGGTGCTGAGTTTTGAATTGGCTCTGTCTTTTGTCTGTTTTGTGTTCAACATGACCTCTTCCTGCCAAGTGGTGTACAGAAATAATGGCATCATGGGAAATAATATGCACCTAGCAAGTTAAATGTGATCAAAACACAGGCAGTTGGCAGGCTAATGAGCCTACAGCGCTAACCTTTTCATGCTGGCTCCCCACTCAGTACCACCTACAGTGCCTGGTGTCATGTGTCAGATGAGATGTACTCGAGAGCAGATGCCCACAGGTAGTTGTCAACCCGAGTTCACCTCATAACTGTGCCTGTCCACAGATTAAACCAAAGACTTGGAGGTAAATAAGGTGTGTTGTTCTCATTTCAGATCATTAGGAAATGCATTTCAGCAAGAAGCAATCCTGGAAATACGACAAGTCTTAGACGAGCATAATAAGAGGAAGAGACCTGTATGGAATGATTTCTTTATCTTTGTATCAGTATATTTGTCTGTTGAAAGCTTCCTGTCATAACGTATCTCTGACTTTTTCTGTGCTTTGATAGCTTGACAATGCCATTGAAAGAACTGGGAAATTTGTGACGACTAATTGGAGCGAGCAACTCAAGGTAAAGAAAAAAAAACATGTAGCAGAAATATGAATCAGCTAGATATGTATTATCCTAGTGCTGATCCATAAATACTTAATTCATAAGGTTTGTGTGACGATCAATGTTATGTAATGCAAAATATAGTGAAACCTTTGATGTATAATACTGTAGATGCATGTAATGCTAGGTTGACAATGCATCATGTGTTGAAACTTTTACAAGCTCTTAAAAGTAAAATCACAATACTATTGCATGACAGGTTATAAAGTCTTAGAGGCCTCTTGGTACTGTTAAGAAAGTATTATGACGGCACCATAATGTTTATATGACTTCATAACATGTTGTGCAAAATGTGCAAATTGATCACGAGTGACTGTGATGTTTGAATTTATGAAGTAAACTGTAAAACTGTTGCCATGAAACACCAAGGTTTATAGCAACTATAACACCATAGTGTGAATGTGTTGTTTTGCATTATGTAACTGTTACAGATGAGGGATTTGTAGAAAGCTCTACTGTTATTTATGCAAAACAACATACAGTATATGTCTATTTGAATTTACATGAAGTATCTAAAATGTGCAATAATTGAATAAATGGAATGAAAGACTTACAGAAATATAAATAAAATAATAATTATCATATAAATAATCCAGCAGGCATCCATTTAATGGACTATATACCTTGCCACTAATGTACATAGCCAGCTTACACCGGTTTAAATTAAAATCCCAATTTAAAGTTGCTCTAAAGAGACCCATCCTCACTCACACATGGCGTAGAAAAGTGCTGAATGTAATGAAATTTAGAATTTCCCGATATGATTTGTTATATCACTGATATGTTGTGGATTCTTGTCTTTCCTCGTCTAAAACAGGTAAAGAAGAAATTGCTTGGATTAACAAGAGAGCATGAGGCTTTGTTCAACTTTGTTGAGAACAACAGGCAAATGTGCACAGAAAAAGAAAAACAAAAGGTTCCGTATATAGTGACCAATCTATAGCTATATTTATTAAAAGCTGCTAGGAAGCTTGCTAAATTGTTGTCCTGCTCTTGACTACAGATGCTGAACAGGCTGACTAAGTCTGCAGAGCTGCAGGCGCAGGTGGATGAGGAGTACTTTAATGTCAACATGGAGGGTCATCAGATGAGGCTCAAGTGGGAAAACACACTGAAAAACTGCTACCAGGTGCGGAAAAAAAAATGCTCTCCTGATTCTCGCACTGTAAGCATTTAGTTGTTCTCCTTATCCAGAGTGCCTTTTTGTGAGTGAACAGGTAGGTTTAGTGTCTTCCTCAATGACACCTCATTTGTGAGAAGAGCTGAACCAGTGAGCTTTTGGTTGCAGAAAATGCTCTATAAGCAGAATGTCAGTTCTCTGTAGACAAGGCATCACGGTGCTACTTCTGCTTTTTTCAGATCATACAGGAGGTGGAGAAACAGCGGGTTGAAGTTCTTTGCAACATTTTGAGTAGATACAACCTCCACATGTTCAGCTTTGGGCAGACCCTCAAACATGTAAGACACCCTGACCTCCATCCTGCTCAATGTTCACAGCATCATTGATGGATGTTATAACTTATATCTGCCACTTCCAGGGCCAGAGACAGATAGAGCAGACGGTCCAAAGGGTGGACATGGATAAAGACATACAGACCCTGGTGAAGGAAAACAGCATCACAGCTGAAGATCACAAAGCTGAGTTTTTGATGGCTGATTATTTTGTAAGTCTGAAATGTTTTGCTCCGAGAAAGCTTGCTCATAATGTATTTATCATTTTCTGACAGGGCCTGACATGAAGGTTGTTTTTTTTGTGTGCTCTTATATATAGATTACTGCTTTTACGTTGTGTTACGAATTGTTTTATGTATTTGTCAGGTTGTTCTCAGGTCTCACTTGAAAACGTGATGTTAACCTAATCCCAATGGATATGAATGTGCAGTGCAGTAGTGACAACAGAATGTTTCAATGTCCAGGAAATGATCACAGTCCAAATGACCTTGTAGCTTTGGCTCAGTGGTAAGATTTAGACCATCACAGTTACTGATGCGTGATCTGTATTCTGGATGCCTCAGGAGGAGGACAGCAAATCACTGATGGCCAAAGGCCGAAGAACAGAGGCCATAAAACTCAAACTGCAGCGTCTGGAGGACAGTATTACAAAAACAAAGAAAGACCGTGAAGGCGAGTAGAGCACATTATCCCTTAAATAATGCATTCAAATTGCACAATATAATCTGATGGAGGTGGGGGGGGGAAATCGTTTTTTAGTAAAGCTTAGTGATTCATGGACAGCACCGCGTGAGGTCATTCATTTTGTTTCTAAGTCACCTTCAACATTATCGTTGCAGGAATTGAAAAACTGATGAGAACATATTCTGAAAATCCATCTTTTTCAAACCAAAAGAACCTCGAGGAAACTGAACTGCAGATTGATGAGGTAAGCGGTGTACAGCATGTAGAGTGGATGGATGTATGGAGGTGTGTGCGGATGGATATTTACTTTCAATTGATCATAAATTAGATTTGCTGTAGTCTTCACTAACGCCACCTTGTTACTTGTAGAGTACTCTAAAACTGGATCTCCTTGACGCCACTCGCTACAAACTCTCTGCATCACTGTCTGAATTAGAGGGGAAACCCAAGACCTTTCACCGATTCAGTGAAAGCATTGTGAAATGGAAAGACAAGGTAAGACTACATGCATCACTTTCAAGACATGAAGGTATGTTCAGGAGTAGTGGTAGCTTAAGTGTAACAGAATTTAAGAGGATCTATTGGCAGCAATGGAATATAATATAATATGAACAATCAATAAAGCATTAAAAGCAGACCAATTGGAACCACAGTGACATACATGATGGGAATAATGGACAGACGATGTGAGAAAGAGTATTTGACTTTTCCTGGATTAAAAAAAGGATAGTGTGAAATGTTTTTGCTAATTGTGAAACAGCCTTTCATACTTCATATTTCATGTGATCATGCAAGAATAGCTGAATCCAAAAACAGCTGTGTGGGAGACTTTGATTATATTTAAAGATACAGGTATTATAAGACTGATTCTCAAGATCACCTAAAAGTATTCTAAATCGTTAAAAGTACTATCATCTAATACTTTTACTTACACAACATGGATATGGTTCCTATTTTGTATGCAACACATTGTATTCCTTTTAGTAAGTTTGCATTCGTACTACAACCACCGGTTGTTGAGGCTTGATATTGTATATAGTCAATACAGCCCACCATCACAAATTGACCTCAAAGGGCTTTACGATCTGTACAGCATACAATAACCTCTATATTTAGACTTGTTCATATCAGCTAAAGTATGTGCAGAAGTACCTCTAGTTAGGAACCACAACTATTGCATTTTATGTAACACAAACTATGCTTCTGTTTAAGGACTGCGAGCACAGCGTTGTTCAACTGACCCGTCCAGTCAAACTCAGGAGGACCCCGTTCAGATCCCGACAATCACTGAGAGCTTCCATCATTTACAAAGGGCCTGTTGAGTTTGAGGCACAGCTCAAGTCCGCGGAGGCTTCGCCGCCAAGTGCCAACGACCAAGTCCCTTCACCAGCTACAACACATGAAACTGTAGAGGGTGGCAGTACTGTTAATGGACACCTGCCTCCCAATGATGATGACAAAGAACAAGGTAGTACTACAAAGATTTATTTCAATTCAGCACATTTGGAATTTCATCCTGAAATTAAAGCAATGAAAAATATCAACATCGAACAGTTCAAGTAACACCGGAGCTGTGCAGTATCGGGAAATGCAAGGCCCTGTACAGTTACACACCTGAACAGGACGATGAGCTGACTTTGAAAGAAGGTAAGTGGCAACTCAAGGGCAGAATATCTAAACCAGTAGAGGTTTATCAATGATCTAATGAAACGACTGGATTTCTGTGTCCCAGGAGATCTTCTAGACATTTACGGGAAGGAGGAGAACAGCTGGTGGTTTGGCAAACTTCACGGGAAGAAAGGCTATTTCCCTTCAACCTATGTTGAGGAGCTGCCTGTGTTGAGCAGCGTCAAATCATCCGATGCCTGACGGACACAACTAATCTACAACTACACTATAGAACTCACCCTGAATCAAAAAGATTCAGTTCTAAAGAGCCGAACATGTAATGACAACTGGAAGCCTCAAACAAACTAGAAAATGTGTTTGTACCGACTGATGATATTCATGGCTTTAAAATGTTAATAAAAACAAAAGCAGAGTTTAATAAATGCTTCTCTGCTGTCAGTTAGGATCTATGATTTTCTCACTGCTCTCTCGAGATATTTTGTAATGTAGTTAGAACTCATAAGTGTCTTTTTTAATTCCAATATTGTGTTTTTCATTATTTATGCCACATTGTGTACAGATGAACTCGACTATAGTGAGTGGTTAACATGTATTTTAATAGGTTAATGATTTACTGAGTAATGACTTGAGAAAATAAATGAAAACTGTTTATCTCATATGTGAATGATCAATTAATATATTAACGTTTACTTCTGGAGAACATCTACAGTAAACGGGTGAACCTTTCAGGACTTAGAGACCCCAGAACACCTGTTACAAACTCCAAGGTTTCAAACAATGCCAATTAGCAGTATCCACTAAACGGTGATACGACCATGCTCAATAATGAGACAGGACATTAACACCAGTGTTGATATATTAATTACATTTTCTTTATTCATTCTTATAAGCATTTTCCATTATCCTCCCTCCAAGTTTGCTGAGGACCCCCACTTTGAAAATCACTACATTAGTCCACATTGCAGCAAGAACTTCATTGCATGGCATTTTATTCTCCCATTCATTCTATTTTAGCAGCGAGCCTGAGAGATAAACTCCTTCCTGACGTTTGCCAGGAATGCTGCCAAGTTATTGGTCTCCTGAAGCTGGCTTTCCAAGACTGGCAAACACTCAAGCACGGGGTCACTGGACACAACTGTGGAAAATGAAAAATGTAATTATAGAAGCCATTTACAATGGTTGTTGCAGGATAAGACTGGTGATATTCCATATTTATATTATTGTCCATAAATCCCATGAAATGACCAAAAACAACTGTGAAGGACTCTGTCTCTTAATACTTTAAAACTGTCAGTGGAACTGCCATGATTACTTCATAATTAAAACAATATTCAAAATATATCATAAATATAGTTTAATTTATAAATTTCGCAAATCAGCTGGGTAATGTAGTTTTAGGCAAATCTTATTCAAACAGGAGTACATACTGCCTTTGTTAGGGACTATAAATGCTACATTTGTAAGTTGTAGATTAAGACACATTTGGTGCTCCAGTGTGTATTTATAGCATCGAGGCAGTGCATACAGGGTTGAATCCATAATAAACTACAGTGGTCGTGTTCATGGGAAGGAACACATCAGCCAGTGCAACAGTGTGACACATTTATATGTTTTTAATAGTTTTGGGATAATAGTAGATCACTATGACACAGAGAAATGTTAAGATATACGAGGCTTTGGCTACACAGGAGATACTTGTGAGTATGATCAGTTAATTGTTGGTTTTGGTTCTTATGGCATTAATGACAATAATACAAATATAGAATATTGTGAGCAACATCTTTTCAGTGAAGGCAAAGTCATAGTTTCATTCAACTGCATTAAATGATGCTATTACAGAAGAGTTTTCTGATATACAGTACGTGTGCGTAACTTACTCTGGTACGATCCGTCTTCTTTAATCCCCATTGTGACGACATAGGCGCTCTCCTGATCCGACGGGTTGATATTTCGGAAAACAAACTGCAGCTTTTCCCCTTTACAACGACAACAAACACATTCTGTAGGATCTGATGTCATAGTTACTTAAATTAAAGAGAGTCAAGGCATTACCTGAGACAAACTACAGTTATTGTTATATGTATTAATTGATATTAATTCATAAATTCATATTTAGAAAAAACAAAAAGATACTGAATACAAATATGCACGTTTGGCATACCTTTAACCAATTGTGTTTTGCCGAGGATTGTTCGCATCTCCATCCCTAAATGGTCTTGAAAGACTACTCTGGCTTTCTGGAGATTCCTCAGTCTGTTTTTGTTTGCCTTGTTTTGAGACTGCATTACTGAAAAGAGAAAAGTGCACGGGTCAGTTATTAAATGTTACACTCACAAATGAATGTGTGATCTACACCATTCATTTTATTTTGAAATAAAAACGTACACTCTTTTCTCTTAGCTTGCTCCTCTTTAAGTTTCTCTATCTTCTGGATGATGTCGTCTTTCTGCATTTCCTTCTGCTGAATCTCAGATATCATTTCAGAAACAGCATGCCGTTTCCCTTTCAACGACGCCTTTTTCTGTACCAAGTCTGGGGGACAAACATTGCATTAGCCAAAAATACACTTTCACATAAAACAATGAAGCTGCATTACAACTTGTTGTTTCATCTGTTTGTATCGGATAATGAGGAATTATTCAGCACATGAAAACTATGGAAAATAAAAAAATATTTGGGCCAATATCAATAACTTGTAAATATAGAAACACACCGATGGCAAGCATGTAAGGCCCATATGCAATGCATAAACTCACCTCTTTTCAACATTTGTATTGTCTCAAACAGCATCTCATCATCCTTACATTTCTTTAAACACATATCTGTACAAAAGGAAAAAAATTTGTGTAACTATATACTGTATGAAGTATAAGTGTAAACATTACTGCCTATATTTGATTTGAATATAGACCCCAGGAACAAGGCAACAACTACTTGGGTCCCAATAAACAATGTCTCAAACATACCAAGTGCAGACTTCACAAACTGTCTGTGGGACTGGCACAGCTCTGCAGTCATGTCGATGATCTCCCCGTATGTCTTAAGCTGTGTATTGTGGATCTCGTCCATAGCACTGGTGAACCCGTTACTCATGTTTGGATCGGTGATGGACGTCATGATGTTCACAATCTGCAATAAAAACAACAGATAGCACAATGCTAATCATGTAGCTACATGCAACAACAACAACAACAAAAACATTACTCTCAGCTTGCATTGCACGTTTTGAAAATATATTTTATAGAACTTGTATATTGAGGTTGAAGTTGAAGTTGAGAAATAAATACAAATGTTAACTTTAACGGTTAACGTGAGTTAACGTTAGCCGTAGCTTGCCCAACATTCGCGTTACTTCTCGTTAGCTACGCAGGAAATTAAGTCAATGGACTTTTACAAATTGACATCGGATTAGCTAACAGTTAGATTATGTAGATGTGGATGACATTGCGGTACTCACATGTTTTAATGGGCGGCCGTTGATCTTTGTGAGTTAACGTCTTACTACTGAACCAGTCGTTATTTTCAAATATCCGCGGTCTGCATACAGGAGGCGGGGAATGAACACCGGAAATGACGTTTATGTATCTTCTTCTTTTTTTTTTTTTTAATGGTGGTTGGCACGAATAATGTTGCATTTGCGCCATCCAGCGAAAATGGTTTTCAACTACAATCTACATTTACAAAATAAAATCATATTAATACAAGATTAAAAAATGGTTGCTGACTAAACTAGGTGTGTATTAAAGTCTATGCTTGCATTACTCGGATTTCATCCAAAATCCCTGACATTAATGTAGTGTTCCTGTGTAAATGTAATAGGCCAGGCTGAACACCAATACAGTATGTGTAAGTCCTCTTTGTTTACCTTTTTTTGAGCGCCTCCGAGCTTGCCCTAGTAACCCTGTGTTTCAAAGCTGTGAATTGTGGGTAATTCCCTCAGGCAAAGTCTGCAGGAATGCAGACTTACAGAAAGTGTGCATAAAGGCCTCAACATGTCTGAGAGAGCCCTCAAGCGCTTGACGATTTCACAGTGGGGCAGCCCTAAACTCTCACAGAGAATGCATCTCCAACTTTCTAAATCCCTGAATGTGGACATTGGACTCAGGATGTAGGTTCATGCTGCATGCCAAATAACTTCTACTCGAAAATGTCTGATATATAATGAAAAGTGCTTTGAAACACGATTCAAAGTCAGAGATCCTACTTGTAAACTTGGGGCAAATCCATCTACCCTGACTTCATGAAGCAGACTATTTTACTCTAAATTGGACCATGATTTACAAAAGGAACATCATGCTGTATTGAGGAAGACTTGAAACTATAAAGACCATAAACTTGTGTTTACAATGTTTACAAATCAATTGAGGAGAAGGGTCATTTTATCATAGACTTCTATATGATCTGAGATCTTAAGAACCAGAAACGTCGCCCCCTGATGGTCCTTAGAAAGAATGCATGTTTAAGGCACTTCCACCTTGGCTTCACTTTTCAGGGTCATGTCCAGACGGTAACCCCAAATTTGCGAAAACGTACAAAAAAGGTGCTGTCCAACGACCTTTCCTAACCTAAATCATATGAGATCAATGCTTCGCCTTAACTATTCATGGTCAAGACCCAACCTTCACCATCTATTGAGAGCTTTGCAATTTGTAGGTTACCTTCTGAACATAAACAATTTTCACGACCGGAGATTGCCACCTGACCGTAGTGGTCCTGGCACAACAGTACACTAGCCAAAAATGACATTATAAAGTATGAAGGCTCCATCAGTTGTTCAGCGCTTGGTTATGCACAGCAAAGATGGGTTACTAGGTGCACACAGCGCACACTGAGCTTTTCAGACATGACTGCCAAAATAAGATAAAAACAAATAACTTAAATTAAGAAGTAAAATAATGAATTAGAAAGACGGCAAAAAAAACGTGACTTCTTTCATTACAAGGCTCTTATAAAGGTGATATGTCCATGAATGAATGTATGAATGTTTAGTACTGTGCACTATTGCAGGTCAATTTTTTTTTCTTTCGCCTACAAATCAGTAAATAACACTTTTTACAATTTAGAGTTTTTTATTTCGTAACTCATTTCCTGCAAAACATTTAAATATAGCCAAGGGTACCTTGGAGTTCCCACAATACAACTTGTATCTTTATTGAGAATTTATACCACCTTGTGGTGAAACTGAGGAAGTTTGAGTGGGCCCAAAATACCCAACATCAAGTTCAGAATACTGAAGCCTACAAGCTTTCAGAATACCAATTTTGAATACGCAAGTACTATGACATAGATGACTGTGCTTTTTAAATGGGAAAAAAAACATGACGATAGATCCACTGAACTGTGGATGCCAGATGGACTGTGTTTTGCAGTATTATGGAAAGTCCATTTTGTTGCTTCACTGAGAAAGAGAATATAAATGAGGCTGAAGGGATCAAGGGATCTCTTCTAGTCTGTACAATGGCTAATATGTAAGAACTGTAAAAGCAATGGTCTGTAAAACTTCTAAAGGCTTCGCAGCTTGTAAACAGCTTTTGTAACATCTCTTAAAATGTGGAGCTCTCACGACTTGGGAACACATTATTTTATATCTTGTGGGCTCAAACTGAATAGCTTGCAGTTGTTGCCATCACTCTGTTGAATGATTTATTTTACCAGGTTGAGATATAAAGCTATCCCCGGTGTAGAATGGGTTCATGGTGCTGAAGAAGCAGCTGGGTCACTCAGGCACACAGAAAGGGAATGGATTTAGTCTACAGCCGTGGGGTGCTTGTTATACAGCCCCTCCAGAACAACTACAGGGAATACCATGACTTCCTCAACTTCATGTCAACTCTGGCAGACCCTCGAAATATTTTCTCTGTTTATTTCCCTCTCTGGTTCCGTCTCAGTCATAATGTGGGCACTAAAATGATATGGGTGACTGTTGGTTCAGTCTTATTTTCAAATGGTAAGCCAACACAATATATAATATTCAAACTTTCAGAGCATTTTTTTTAATTCTAGATTTGAATCCGATACTTAAGTTTCATGATTCTGTTTGGGCAGCGACCTTATTGATGGGTTGTGTGTCTGTGAAAAGGCCTGAAGGGATACTACCACATCAGCAGAGCACTAAAGGAGCCTCGGCCTGATGCAACGCACACTATAGGGCAGGTCGATTTTCTCTTGAAATGTTATGACATTATTCTCATTAAATTGCAACTTTAGTCTTGCAATATTGCTCAGTAGGGATATTATGACAAAAGTTTGAAAGTAATACAAGAATGCCTGAGAGCCTTACTGTTGTAATTGTAACTTGGCACTTGAATTTGGTGTTTTCCTTGAGATAAATGAAGACATTTCCACCAAATTGATGCATAAAATGCTATGTTATGTTTTTTATTTGAACAGGGACAATGCACACATGAACCTTATTCAAAGTAAGGACAAAGATAACGTACCAGGTTTTAGCATATTGCTATTTTCAGCCCATATATTCCCTGGGCAGGAAGGTAGAATAGTGAAACACTAAGAAAAATTAAAGGGCACAAAAATACCCCTACACAGACACAATTACATCGAAGGAGTATCAAATACAGAACCATGGTAGTCAATAAAGGTATACACACAGACGCAATTCTTTAGTCTATTTAACTAACTAGTGTTGGAGTCGATAAAGGGTAGGCTGCTAATTGGTCCTAGCACCAATGCAAAATAAAGTCAGACACACAGATGTTTCTTCAAGCTCGGCTTAGCAAGTACCCTTCGCATTTAGAACAGTTGCATCATTTACCAGACCTCAGGTGCCATTGGATGCTAATCAACCACAGATGGTGGGAAAAGTGTAACTACTCTGCCTAATCTAGGTACATCAGAGACTCTGTTCTACCTCATTACATTTTGTCTGATTAATCTGAAGTTGCCTGAAGAAACTAAGCAACCCCATAAGAGATTATGTAATCCTCACTTGGCAAGATACACATTCATACTTTCGCAGTACAAACACAGGTCCTGCTGGAGAGAAACCATGAATGAATAAGTGAAAGCTGAAATTGGCAGGGAATTATCAAAAATGATACTGTATGTCCGATGTGTTGTTGAACTGACACAAAAGCATATTACTTGAAGCCTAACAAGATGGATTTTAGTGTGATCTGTCATCCCGCGATTCCCTCGTGATCTTGTGATATGGAGATATTCCAGATGCCGTGCAAGGTAAAAAGACACATAACTCTGCAAATGAAAGGGTTTATTTCGACCAAACCACCAAGTTTTAACAAATTGGTGATTATTGGAACAGTGAAAAGACTAACATAGACGGTTTTAGTGATTATTTAGTTTCTGTCGAGTTTGAATGAAGTGTGTTTTACGATGATCGGACAAGTAAAAACACAATATGAAGATTAAGTCAATTTATTTGGACTAATATGTAAAATATGCATTGATTGAAATGTTGTCTTTGAAAGCTATTTTAAAGGAGAGGTATGACGGCATTGCATGATGCACAAATGTAAAATTATATATATATATATTATCATACATTCCATCATATGCTCATCATAACCTATGTGTCTGCAGGCATCTAGCTGATAGGAGCGCCTGTTGTGACCAAATTATAATAGGCGCCCCTCTTGGCCATGAGATTATCATGAGTGTCTTGCTCTATGACGACTCCATTAGACATCACTGCTATGATGTCAGCATTCTGGATTGTAGACAGCCGGTGAGCGATGGTAATGCAGGTTCGTCCTTTTCTCGCCTCATCCAGAGCAGACTGGACAATCTAACGGGAAAACAGAGCTTTGTCAGGATTGTTATATCATAAAAAGATACACTTATACAAAGGAATACCTCGCTTTATGTTCATGTTGTTTGGGGGTGTTATTACCTGTTCACTCTCTGTGTCCAGGGCAGAGGTAGCTTCATCAAGTAGCAGGACCTTGGGGTTTCTGATGATGGCCCGGGCAATGGCGATGCGTTGTTTTTGTCCTCTTGACAGCTGGGAGCCCTGGGCACCAACCTGGGTCTCATATTTCTTTAAATTCGTAAATGTATTGAGAGAAGGAGAGAAAGCGAAAGCTCACAAAGTCAACACTGCTGTAAACCTGTACCATTTCAGACATGGAAGGAGCAGTGTGTAGGATTTAGGGGGATCTATTGGCAGAAGTTTAATATAATATTAATTATTGTTTTCATTAGTGTATGATCACTTGAAACTAAGAATCGTTGTGTTTAGTATCTGTTCTGGAGTTTTCATATCACGTGATCTTCCTCAGCAGATGAAGTTTGCCCAGTTCCTCAACTGATCATCTCGACAAACTCAATCAGATGCAGAAGATCATGTGACACCTAAGGACAGAGAGTTTATACTAAATAGGGCAAACATAGGCTAATATGCATCTTTTTGAGATGTGCCAAAATGGTGAGAAGTTAAGGTGTCTTTCCTGACTAGGAGAACACTCTTTTTACAATATTGTTATATACTGTACTTAAAGAATATTTAAGTTCATTCCAATGGGTAGTTCAAAGGCTTTCACCCACAGGAGTCTATGATTGAAGTGTTCCTTGTCAAGCCATATAGAACGGCAGGTACCTAATCCAGATACACTAAGATCAACAATATCAAATTAAATCAAAACTATGAAGTATTTATTCTATTTATTTGGAGCAACTTAAAATGTGAATGCTCTCTGTATTAATGCAGCATATAATTAATATCACAGTCAAATTAGCTACCAACAAAACCACAATATACTGTATGTGCTTGTGTGTTGTTTGCAGGTCCTTTGCTGGGTGGAGCTGAGGTGCCATCAACCTAATTGGGAACACCTGGCCAGTGTTCTTAATCTTTTTTGCCCAGGCGCCAGTGTCGTCAGTCCGTCCTCACCAACCTGTTGTTTCTTTGTTACTTTGACATACTTCAATACATTTAAGATTGTTACTGCAAACTAATAACCAGGATTTGTAATGGCAATGTATGCAAAGTTGTATCCTTAAGTGTTTCCACTCACATCTGGAAGCGTCATCACAAAGTCGTGAAGGTAGGCTTTCTTTGCAGCCTCAACAATCGCTTCCATGCTGACACTGCATGTGTTATCTCCATACTGAATATTCTCCGCTATGCTGCAGTCAAACAAGACTGGCTCCTGGGACACTATGCCAATCTGAGATCGTAGGTAGGGCACATTGACTGTATGAGATGGGCAACCATCAATCAACTGAAAATAAAAAAAGATTACATATTTAAGGCTTTGGCATTGATTAAACTCATTTTGTGATCCATGAAATTAACTTCTAAATCAGTCTACATACCACTCTCCCTTCATCGGGGTCATAGAACCTTTCCAACAGTTGAACACTTGTGCTCTTCCCACAGCCGCTGTTCCCAACAAACGCCAAAGTCTGACCAGGCTTCACAGACACAACCAGGCCGTTCAACACCTGGACATCTGGCCGAGTTGGATAGGTGAAGTTGCAATTGAGGAACTCTATTTTACCTCTGAAGTCATCCTAAAGATGGATAACTAGGCTTAATCATTTGAAAGTAACATCATGGCAGAGTGACATCCCATTGGGTATTATTCTGTCTTATTTATGAAATCAACCAACCCATTTCTCTCCATCTGCATGGCTTATGTTGATTTTAGGAACTCGGTCCAACAGTTTGAAAAGCCGAGCAGCAGCAATTTTGGCTTTGGCATAATCTGGAGTGAATGAGGAAGCTTTGCCCAGTGCTGTCCCACTGGTTACTACAGCTGTAATCACTCTGGAGGAACACCATACAAGCACTGGGTTGATGTTTGGTAATCACATCACAACACATAAAAAAAGATTTCAATATGGGATCTGAAAAAGACAGATTTTCTCATTGAACGAAACAATTTTACCAACCTGAAAACAATCATGTATTGCAACCCCTCAGACATAACCAGATGGCCTCCATATCTAAACGAAGCAGCATTTGCCAGGAAGATGACACACTGGGAAAAACCGAAACAAAGCCCGTAGATGTTGGCTCTCTTCCTCTCAAATTTAAATGGAAGAACAAGTTTCTGCTCATATGATTCCACAAATGAGCTCTCTTTGGCCAAGCCTGCAATGGTCCTGATGTTGGCAAGAGCCTCACTGGAAACCTGCGGGAGGAATTTTAGATTTTATACGCCTTTTGGTTTCTCAGAGAAATGTATATCAATGGACATAGATGGCAAATGTTCTTTGGAGCTTACCTGACCCGCTGCTTCCATGGCTTTGTTGTCTTCATTTGCAAAACCTGTCAGCATTTTAGCTTGGAACACACCGCACAGCCCGATGAGTGGCAGGAAGCACAAAATTACCAAAGTTAACTTCCAACTGAAGTACATAGCAATGATGAAAGACGCTCCGATGCTGGTCAATGAGCTCACAATCATGCCAATCTGAGATCCTGTTGCCTGAAAAAGCAATACCAGCCCCAAAATAATGCTGTAAATTACTGTACAATACTAAACCTATATCTTTTATATGTTATAAATAATGTGAAATAAGCATGCAGGCCTTTAAATATGTTACTTACCCCCTTCACCATTGATGCATCAGTGGCCAGTCTAGTGGTCAGAGCTCCAGGGCTGTTTTTGGGGTCATCAAACCAACCAATCTCCTGTCTCAACATGGCCTGGAAGCCTAATTTTCTTAAACGGCGGGTCAGCAGCTCTCCAGACTTGGCAAAAGCATATCCCTTAAACATTAAATCAGAGTCAGTCTACATGTATATATTATATCAAATTGACAATGAGATTATGTACTCTAAAAGGACTTAATAATTCAGCAAATTGTGATGCAAACCTGCAAAAACTGGGAGAAGAAAATAATCACAGCCACAATGCAAAACAGAATACACATCTCGTTGATCTGTTTCGTCTGTTCGTTCAAGTCACTAATAGCGAACGTCTGCAAATACAAAGATCACATGAGTCATTTGCACTTCAGCAAACTACATCAGCTTGTAAAAAAGAATATATGAAATACGCAACCCCCACCCCAAGAATTTGGCTGAACAGGATAGCATAGATGGGGCTGACAGAGCCATTGAAAGCAGCTCCCACCGAGCCCAGCAGCATGTAGGGCCATTCTGGTTGGTTGTATTTGAGGATACGTTGTACTGGGGCAGGCTCAATATGTTCGTCTGTATCGTCCTCACACGTCTGTTAAACAATACGCATTGCAGCTATTCATTTCCACAAGATAGTTAGAGATAAAGTAAATGTAATACACAGCATAAAAGAAAACCTCAGTACATTTTCTGTTGTGAACTGCTTGTCCGAAAGGATCGTGAGGCTGTCTGATAATGTGCCATTTGACAATTTGCTCTGAGATCGCAGTCGACAAGAGTCCCTAGAGGAGTGATATTGAGAACATCAGATTATTTTTTTTTATTATTATTTTATACTGTATTTTGTCTCATTGGATCTTTTTGAGATGGATTTTTACTTCACCTTCTACTGGATGTGCGGCTCCTCACTTTTAGATCCAAGTCTTCTTCGAGAGCGTCCCTGTTCTCATCTGGAAGTAAAAAAAAGCAATACAGCTTTAATACAAGTTTTGAAGCTTCTGTTGCCCTTTAGCAGACACAGGAAGAACCTTTATAGGATAGCCCACTAACTCCTGCCGACTGCTGAGGGCTTTGAAATGTGCTGTTTGAAACAATGTCTTGTGATACTGGGAGGAATGTGTGGGTACAGGGAGACAGGATTAAAGTCTCATAGAGCAGCAACAGCTGATAACGCCGCCTGACCGACGGTGTCAACACAGAAGCGTAACACCACCCTCCGGTTCCCTCTCAGGACAACACTGTTAGCTCTGTCAGGAGCACTATTTATGCTGTTACACTGTTAACGTTGGGCCGCCAATTCAGGCGTCACCATGTTGAGAGCCGTGTAGAGGCAATAGATATGCTTTGACTTCGGAAATTGAGCACCTTTTCGAGATTATAAGCAACAATAACAACCGCTCTGTCTCTCCAGCAAACTAACTATATTTGAGTTTTGGACATAAGATAGACATAAGAAAGAAATATGTCACTGTTTTCTGGAATTTTATACATAGAAAGATCCAAAATTTAAAATCCACAGATGCATCTATAATGACAGTTGCAGGCAACCCTACTGTAATGATTAGCAGCCCTAAATACATCTTACCTTCAGTTGTGTTGGATGTGCATTGAT